TCAAGTTGAAACAGCAGCTGCTGCTGCCAGCAAGCTCCCTCTGTCCTGAGCCCTGTCGTTTCCCCCCCTGCTCTATGGAGATGGGGTACAGGAACGGTAGGAGGGGGACACCCTGACATTAGCACCACTCTTTCCCTTCCCACCCCGCGTAAAGCAAGCAGGAGGCTCCCGGGAGCAGCTCCAAGGCAGAGGGCAGGAGCAGCACATGGCAGTGGGGGGAGGGACCGCTGAACTGCCCGGCAATTGACAGCCTGCTGTGCGGTTGCCGCACAGGGAACTTAAGGGAGCAGGGAGCTGATGGGGGGGGGGGGCTGCCAGTCCACCCTGGTTCCAAGCCCCCACCAGCTAGCTCCAACGAGCTGCTCTTTCTGCAAGCAGTGGACAAAGCAGGTGGCTGCCAAACAATGTTATAAGGGAGCATTGCACAACTTTAAATGAGCATGTTTCCTAATTGATCAGCAATGTAACAATGAAACAACGTTAACTGGGAGGACGTTAAGTGAGAAGTTACTGTATTTTAGAATGAACCACCAAAAAGCACAACAATATATAAGGTATTAAATAGGGTTGTTGATTAATCGCAGTTAACTTATGTGATTAACTCAAAAAAATTAACTACGATTAAAAAAATTAATTGCGATGAATTGCACTGTTAAACAATAGAATACCAATTGAAATGTATTAAATATTTTTGGATGTGTTTCTACATTTTCAAATATATTTATTTCTATTACAACACAGGATACTAAGTGCACAGTGCTCACTTTATATTATTTTTTATTACAAATATTTGCAATATAAAAATGATAAAAGAAATAGTATTTTTCAATTCACCTCATCTCCTTATCATGAAAGTGTAACTTACAAATGTAGATTTTTTTTTTGTTACATAACTGCACTCAAAAACAAAACAACGTAAAACTTTAGAGCCTACAAGTCTACTTAGTCCTACTTCTTGTTCAGCCAATTGCTAAGACAAACAAGTGTGTTGACATTTACAGGAGATACTGCTGACTGCTTCTTCTTTACAATGTCACCTGAAAGTGAGAACAGCTGTTCGCATGGCACTTTTTAAAGCCGGCATTGCAAGGTATTTACGTGCCAGATATGCTAAACATTCATATGCCCCTTCATGCTTTGGCCACCATTCCAGAGGACATGCTGCTGAAGCTTGTTAAAAAAATAATGCGTTAATTAAATTTGTGACTGAACTCCATGGGGGAGAATTGTATGTCTCCTGTTCTCTGTTACCCACATTTTGCCATATATTTCATGTTATAGCTGTCTCAGATGATGACCCAGCACATGTTCGTTTTAAGAACGCTTTCACAGCAGATTTGACAAAACGCAAAGAAGAAACCAATGTGAGATATCTAAAAATAGCTACAGCACTCGACTCAAAGTTTAAGAATCTGAAGTCCCTTCCAAAAATCTGAGAGTGACAAGGTGTGGAGAATGTTTTCAGATGTCTTAAAAGAGCAACACTCCGATGCGGAAACTACAGAACCCGATCCAGCAAAGAAGAAAATCAACCTTCTGCTGGTGGCATCTGACTCAGATGATGAAAATGAACATGCGTTGGTCCGCTCTGCTTTGGATCGTTAACGAGCAGAATTTATCAGCATGAAGGCATGTATTCTGGAATGGTGGTTGAAGCAGGAAGGGACATATGAATCTTTAGCGCATCTGGCACGTGAATATCTTGCGATGCCAGCTACAACAGTGCCATGTGAATGCCTGTTCTCATTTTCAGGTGGCATTGTAAACAAGACGTGGGCAGCATTAACACCTGCAAATTGTAACCAAACTTCTTTGTCTGAGCGATTGGCTGAAGTAGGACTGAGGGGACTTGTAGGTTCTAAAGTTTTATATTGTTTTGTTTTTGAGTGCAGTTACTTTTTGTACGTAATTCTACATTTGTAAGTTCAACTTTCATTATAAAGAGATTGCATTACAGTACTTGTATTAGGTGAATTGAAAAATACTATTTTTTACAGTGCAAATATTTATGATAAAAAATAGTGAGCACTGTACAGTTCGTATTCTGTGTTGTAATTGAAATCAATATATTTGAAAATGTAGAGAACATCCAAAAATATTTAAATAATGGTATTCTATTATTGTTTAACAGTGCGATTAATCACGATTAATTTTTTTAATCGCTTGACAACCCTAGTATTAAGCTATAACATAAAAAGGAAATCTTTCTTACCAAGGTAGTAAAAGGCTTTCGTTTTTTTTTTTTTATTCCCATTCAGACACAGTACTTGTTTAGGGTTTGTCATGTGCAAAAACAGTTCGTACATTTGATTTGGGTTTTTTTGCCTTTCTCTGTTTTTCAGGCTGGTGCACCAACAGGACAGTTTCCCACAGGAAGCTCATCAACCAATCCTTTCTTATAGCCTTATAGACACTTTACCCAAAAGAACTCTTATTTGGTCACATAACATCTCTGCGCCTCTTGCACTGTTGTCTTGTTTCACTGATCTTAGCTTTAAACACAAGAGAAGTCTTTAATAAAAAAACAAACAAACCTGCATTGTGTATTAAAACCAACAGATACTATGTGCAAAACGGAGGGCTGTGGTAACATCCTTAACCTGTGAATTGGCAGGAGAAAAGTAGCGGTATCATGTATATTAAAATTGGCTAATAAGTAATTGCAGATACCACATTCATTATGCTGCAGTACTGTACATATTTTTTTCTTAGAAAATAGCTATTTGTGCATATCAGTATTTGTAACTTTAACACATTGTTATGTGAAAAATGTTACTGGGGAAATAGATCAGCCACTTTGAGGTACTGTTGTATCTCTTGGAATGAATTACCTACATCATTTTAACCGTTGCTATTGGAAGTCATGAAGTCAAATTGGAGGTTTTGTTCATTCTCCAAAATGTTTTCCATTCCGAAAGAGCTCTTCTATTTATACATGCCTACATTCTCTATAATGTAGAGGGATACCTGTCTGCCTAATAAAGCTGATCATGTTTTGCTACAGTTTGCAGGTGAAAAAAAATAAATATTAGGGAAAAAAAAAAAGACTACGTGTATTCTTGCTGCTGTGCAGTAACAATAATGGGTTGAAATGTAAGCAGTGTATGTACTTGTATATTGGTCTATTCATGAACACTTAAATAAAGCAAGGTAAACAAAGTGAGTCTGCAGGTTTTACAGGTAAATTTGAGGACACAACTTTCACACGATTCATCAAGTCAACTTAATTCTGACCTGTGACATTGATGTCAGTTCATTTATCTCAGGGGAGGGCAAACTATGGCCTGTGGGCCAGATCCGGCCCGTCAGGGTTTTCAATCTGGCCTGCGGGATCGCCAACCCTGTGGCGCAGCAGGGCTAAGGCAGGCTCCCTGCCTGCCTTGGCCCGCACCACTCCTGGAAGTAGCCGGCCCTGCGGCCCCAGGGGGAGGGAGGGCAGAGGACTCCATGCGCTGCCCTCGCCTGCAGCCACTGCCCCTCACCTGCAGTTCCCATTGGTGGGGAACCGCAGCCAATGGGAGCTTAGGATGTGGTACCCGCAGGCGAGGGCAGGGTGTGGCGGAGCCTCCTGCTCCACCCCACCCCCAGGAGCCACTGCTGGATGTGCTGGCCACTTCCAGCCAGGGCAGGCAGGGAGCCTGCCTTAGCCCTGCTGCGCGCCACTGCCACCCTGGAGCTGCTCAAGGTAAGCGGTGTCAGGCTGGAGCCTGCACCCTCAACCCCTCCTGCATCCTGCCCAGAGCCCCCTCCTGCACTCTGCACCCCCTCCCACATCCAGCACTTCCTCCTGCACCCCAACCCCCCTGCCCCAGCCCTACATTCATGGCCCTGCATACAATTTCCCCACCCAGATGTGGCTCTTAGGCCAGAAAGTTTGCCCATCCCTGATTTATCTCCTTACAATACCATTCAGATCAAACTTATGTAAAGCCGTTACGTATAGGTGTTAGACTGCTGCACTCTTTGTATTTCTAATTATGCATCACTAACAAATACTAACATTTCTTCAAGTGTGGAAGGCTCCATAGTACTTTAATTGTGAAGGTGGATAGTGGAAACACGGAGTAACATGTTTTTTAAAATAAATGTTTAGAACCATTATTTTGGCACGTAGGGATAGATTCACAAAGAGAATGTAGGAACTCCTAGGCAGCCCTGGGTTACCCAGCTCCCTATACAATGCATGGGGAGAGTCAGGCACATAAGGAAGGGATTCTCAGAAGCCCACAAGCTGAGTGGGGAGCTGCCTAAGTTAAATGCAGAGGAAAGAGGCAGGGCTTCGGGTCCAGATCCACAAAGGGACTTAAGTGGCTAACTCGCATTGATCTGCATCTTAGGTGCCTGTCTCCACTTGGGATTCTCAGCCTTTACCCTCTCCTGGAGATAGGCCTACCAAATCAGGTAGGAGAGAT